AATATAATGAAATAATTTTCATTATCATCCTATGGCCCACTTGGAAGTTTTTGGCCCTGGTTGAGAACCACTATTCTGTACCGTTTAAACGATTTGTACGTTTCCCTTTCTCTACTCTTATATAACACATTTTCTGTATTTCTCTGTAATGCTCTGTACATTTTCTCTGCATTCTATAACACGATCTATACCCTTCTATAATCCACTGATACTTTATAACCTCTCTCTTTTCTTATATAACACACTCTGTAATGACAGTTACATCATTTAATAATCACTCTGTAATGCTCTATACATTATGTCTTGCCTCTGTTACACACACTATAATCCTGTGATATCCTTTCTCTAACATTAAGGTATCTGAAACCTTACAGATTGTTTCTTGCTTTATCTTGTCCTTACCTTCTTCTTACATTTCTGTTGTCTTAACAGCATCTCTTCGAGGAATGCAGGAAGAGTATCAGAAAAAAGCGCTGAGCGCTTTCCAGAGGTGATTTTCAGCTAAATCTCTCTCTCTCTCTCTCTCTCTCTCTCTCTCTCTCTCTCTCACACTCACACACACACTGATGATACGCTCTGTTTCTCTCTCTCAGGGCACAGAGTCTGTCCCCCACTGATCATCTAGCTGTTTTCTACCTGGCGCTGCAGCTGGCTGTATCTCGACAGGTAGGAGAATCAACATCTGCTATTTACACACAGGTAGTGAGAATGAAAACATTTCACTCTCAGATGATGGTCCTCTCCATTTTGCTCTTGATACCTAGGATGATGCCTTGATACCTAGGTGATGCATTTGCACATGGTTAAATTCATCTGCATCAAGCCACATCTAGGGCTGGGCTATATGGCCAAAAATATTATCACAATATATTTTTTTTCTATATCATTCGATATTGATATTTATCACAATATTCATTTTATACCATTAAAGAGGAAGGACATGCACTCCACATGTTTGTTAGACCTCAGGAATGAATGTAATCAAAAATTTTCATTTATCTTTTAAAATGTAATCAAATTAAAATATAACAATCAAATAATATATAACAATTCATTTACAACAGAACAGAACTTGTAAACTACAAATTAAAACAAGAATGAAAAAAAATATTGGTTGTATGATATAATTTGATATAATGAATATATAAATAAACTTTATCAATAAATATTTTTTCGATAAATATCAATATTGATTTATCACTCAACCCTAGCCACATCTCACTCTTCTTACTATGGGAACTTTATTTTGCCTTTATTTCCCTCTCAGTCTGCCTCTCTCCCCAGATGTCAGTCTGTTATTTTTCCTTCTCATTTCTCTCTCGCTCCGTTTAAACAATCATCTAATAAAAGCGCCTCTTGTGTGTGTGTGTGTGTGTGTGTGTGTGTGTGTTAATGTCAGATTCCAGAGGCTCTTGGTTATGTACGACAGGCGTTACAGCTGCAGGGCGATGATGTTCATTCACTGCACCTGCTGGCCTTGCTGCTGTCAGCTCAAAAACACTACCACGATGCTCTCAACATCATCGAGATGGCCCTCAGCGAATACCCTGAGAACTTCATGTGAGTCCAACACACTCACAGTCACTGTCACACTTTATCTAACCTCTCGAGCTTGTAGTTAGATGTAGCTTTGTTTCTTGCCTGCGCTGAGTTGATACAGTTGTCAGAAGCCAATCCGAGAACGGGAAAGAGCCTATTCTTGGATCAGAGAACCAATCAGATGATTCCATGTTCTTTTGCACACACATACATACACACACACACACACACACACACAGTGGCAGGCAGTGTTTAGACATTTAGAGGCATTCCACAGTGCCCACGCTAATGAGAATGTTTGTGTTTGCTGTAGCAGCTGGGATAGATGGGTACATATCTGCTGCTGGCATCTTCAATTAGACAAGTTAGTTAGACGAAGTATGCGTGTGTGTGTGCTGGATGTATGAAGCACTGGGCAGTCCCCACGCAAATTCCCTTCTCATTCAATTTGATCATAGTCCCCTCCATCTCTGTATTTGTGTGTGTGTGAAGCTGTGTGCTTCAGCCACTTACATGATAGAAAAAAATATACTACAGCTTTCTTTTTCCTCCAATCCTATGGCCCTCTTTTTCACCCTGTTTTTCCCCTCAGGGTTTTGGTATTGTGCATATGTGTGTTTGTGCAGTTTGTGTGTGTGTTTCCATGCATTTTGCTTCATTGCCTTGAAAGGAAATGCACCAGAACATCCAGCCCTCCTTATTCCACACACACGCGACAGGATTAAATCAGCGATTGTGTAGGCGTCCTAGCGGCGTAGTGTGCAACTACAGCAGAGATGAAAGCACGGCTGATGAGAATGTGCCATCAGCTCTCTGAATTGGCTGAACTCGGACCAGCATGGACTACAGAGAATGCAGCGTGTTTAAAGCGCTAACCAATCTCTGTTCAGCTCAGAGTCGAGCAGCTGCAACGACAGCGAGCTGTTAAAGAGCAGACTCTATGTATGGTATCTGCTTCACACATAAACACACACACACCCCGGCTGGATCTCTTCACATGCTGCCATATCTGATTATAGAAATGCCCATCTGCACTCTTGATGGTGGGACTTTCACTCAGCTCGAGCAGATCTGCTGTCTGCAGAAATGTGTGTGAAATACAGGTGTTATTAGGGGACTCTGTGTGCACTCATTAGCAGAGATTAACAACACTAGACAAGATACAATACTCAACAAACATTCATCCACATATGCACAATATACAAAACAACACTCAATATAACAAAAAGCATAATTTGGATTATTGTACATATATTGGTTAATATTTGATATTTAATTGTTTTCCTATTTATATTTATATTACATTTGCTGTCATTCTATGCTCATTTGAAGTTAAAGTTACAGTTAAAATGCCGTTAAAACAGTAATATTGTGAAATATTTTTACTGTTTTCTATTTTTATGTTTAAAAAAAATTTATTTATTCCTGATGGCAAAGCTGAATTTTCCGTGGCCATTACTTCAGTCTACAGTGTCATATGATCCTTCAGAAATCATTCTAATATGCTGATTTGCTTCTCAAGAAACATTGTGCTGCTAAACATTTTGTGTGGAAACGGTGATTAATTTTTTTAGGATTCTTTGATGAATAGAAAGTTCAAAATACCAGTACATATTTGAAATAGAAATCTTTTATAACATTATAAATGTCTTTACTGTCACTTTCAGTGTTGGGGAAAGTTACTTTTAAAAGTAATGCATTACAATATTGCGTTACTCCATAAAAAAGTAACTAATTACGTTGCTTAGTTACTTTTTATGGAAAGTAATGCGTTACATTACTTTTGCGTTAATATAAAATATAAATATAAAAGCCTTTTCACACCAAAAGTGAAATGAATAAGCCTCAGGCTGAAGGAAATGTAAATTTACGTCTGTACAGTAGAATGCAGAAGAAGAAATTTCAACACACTTCAGAAATAAAAAATAAAAAAAGACACACAAATGTTTGTCTTGAGTAATTTTTGCTCATTAGTATGGTTGAACTGGATCATCAAAGATCAGAAGCAAAAACATTGGTTAATAGAATGGGATTAAATACATAAAGGATATTTGTGTTGTTTAACATTTAATTCTTGCAGGTTTGCGTCATATTCTGAGTTGCATTTTTTTTATTCATTTTGAGGAATACTGAATCTGTGTTGTTGTTTTTTTGTGAGTGAGATGAATTAATGCATATTCATATTTATTTTAGAGCTACAGTAACATCTTCTGATTTCTCTCAACATGGGGACAGGAGAGCTGTCAATCAATAAATTGAAAAAAAAAAAAAGTACTTATTTGAAAAAGTAACGCGTTACTTTAATAGTTACTTGAAAAAAGTAATCTGATTACGTAACTCGCGTTACTTGTAATGCGTTACCCCCAACACTGGTCACTTTTGATCAATTCAATGCATCCTTGCTGAATAAAAGTATTTCTTAAAAAAAACTTCCTGACCCCAAACAAAGGTAGCTGGCAGCATTTAAATGGTTGATTTGAATTTTTAGTGTTAAATTTTTAATGTATTTAGACAAGTAAAATCAGCAATTTATGGGTTAATGGTCATAACATCAAAATAATTATTGGCTTATCAGTATCGACCAGAATTGATACATTTCACAACACATATGCACAATATACAACACAACATTCAATATAACATGAATACATAACACATATACACAATATACAATACATCATACATTCACAATAGACCAAACAACATGCAATATACCTGTACAGTTGAACAAAGTATTCATGAACGTTTATTTTTCTCTCATTGTTCAGTTTATTGTACCATAGAGAGAAATCTATTGATATGCTCTGTTGATTTATTTGAAGTTATCCCAGCAGAAAGGGACGAATCAGCTTGACTTTGGTTTAAAGTTTTGTATTTAAAAGGGCGTGCAGAAGAGATTAAGACTGATTTATCTCTATCTGTGTTCAATAAACGCTTTTCTCTGTTTATTAAATACTTAATTAGACATTCAGATGGACAGAGAGGGATAATAAACACTTTTTTTTGTCTGTGTAGTCTATTATTCACAAAGGTGAAGTTGGAGACGTTGTGTCGAGGTCCAGAGGAGGCGTTACTCTCCTGCAAACGCATGCTGCAGATTTGGAAGTCCTGTTACAACCTCACCAACCCCAGGTACACACACACTCCAGCTGTTGACGCATGAATGCTAGAAGCTCAAGTGTCGGCACTCACCATCACACATAAGACAGCACAGCATATCTCTCTGACTGTGAGGAGCTCACTACACAAATAAATAAAAGCACAGCTCATACCACTGCTGCATACTATGATTCAGTCTTGCTTTCTCTCATTCTAATGGCTGAAATACCCGCCCCCCGCTGCCAGAATACTCCAGCTTTTCCTGTCAAACTGTCCTGAACTCAGTACCTGGTGACAATCCACCAGAGACCAATTAGTGCCTGGACACTGTAACCAAACTAGTCCCTCCGTCCAAACCCTGGGTAGCTCTACTTTGTCAGAAGACCTCTTGTGCTCATCCTCCCTAAACCCCACCAAAGTCGTCCTCGAACCCTAAACAGTTGCAACACTGTCAGATGTTTTTGTGCGCATTCCAGAGACAGTAGGAGGACACAGAGACAGACCACATCTAGAAATATGAATGGGAGAAATCATGCATTAGTGAAATTTCAGTATAATGTTGTGAGCAAAAAAATGCCTTTTGTCAATGTCTTTTTTAGCAATGTATGAAGCACAGCTCACACAGTAGTCAAACCAAGCAGCCTTCTGGCCACTGAGTGAACTCCACAGTCTCCACAGATGTATGGTTCTTTTACTAAGTGATCGGATTCATGATTTTTTTTTTTTTTGCCTGGTTAACAATAAAATGGGGGAAATTTCGTTACACTTACATTAATAGCTCGATCCGAGGCATATCTGTAAATCATTTCATCAAGACTTGGGTTTGGACTCTTTTTGATTTGGACCAATAAGCAACCACTCCAGCAGCCATTCACAATATGCAAGTAACCACAATGTCCTGACAACCACCCTTTTTATACTCCTTTTAAGATGAATAGTGTTGCAGAAGCATTGTGGTTGTGTGTGCAGAAGCACTGTGCCATGAGATGCTGAGTGAAATTTCTGAGGGTTTCATCATTCTGTGTGTATTGATGTGCAAGTATCGTGATATCCTCTGTCTCCTGTCTGAGTGCTTGACTCATTCTCTAATTTTATCATCTTAATTGCCTCTTGCTTCTCGTCTTCTCTCTGTGTGTATAGTGATTCTGGGAGGGGGAGCAGTCTGTTAGACAGAGCTGTTGCTGACCGTCGCCAGCTGAACGCCATGACACTACCTGACTTCAGTGATCCAGAGACAGGTGAGTGCGCACATGCACACACACACACACAAATTAATGTCCACATATCTGTATCTCTATTGTTATTGTGGTAACAGCTTTTTTGCCCTACCCTTTTTGGTGAGTTTGCATCACCATGGCAACAGACATCAGCTTTGCTGTCATTTTATCTGTATTTCCTGATTATGTCTTTCTCTTTCTCTCTCAAACACAGATTTAGATTTAGGATGAATGGCCTAATGAGATGATGGGTTAATACATTTTGTAATATACTTTTATTTTTTGAATTTCTAAAGCTGTAATCCTTGTAGAAGGGTCATATCATGAAAATATTCTTCTATTTTTATTTTTGAAGTTCTATGCAAACATACTGTATTTATACTTCAGAGCTTGTTTTTTTTTTTTGTCCAAAAAGTAATTTAGTTGAAACTAAGTTGCAAAAAATAGGGTTTCTGACGTCAAAACACTGTTTAGTGTTAAGCAACTTGGCCTGCCAAGTCATGGTAAGGTGATTAGAAGGAAATAGGATGGATGCTATAATTCCTCAACACAAGAAAAAATTGTGGTTTAACCCCTTTAATTCCTAAAAGAACAATAGGCCTTTATTCAGTACTTCATGTGAAAAACTGCTTTGACTCATTTCGGTTTCAGCTAAATTTACATGAATTTTCCCAGTATCTTGTGCAGTGAGTAGAGTAATTAGATAAAGAGGGCTGAGATGAGTGCAGGTGTTTATTTGCTGTGTTTGCACAGCAGTGATGGTGGAGGGTTTCTGTGCTGTGTATGCAGACAGTAAACATGTCATCTTGCCTCTGTGATTCAGCAGTTATCCATTTTCTTTACAACCTTATCTTTCTGTTCAGTTCTGGTTTTTTTTTTTTTTTTTTTTTTTTTTAATTTATTTAATTATTTACATTTTCCATAATTTTTATGGCTGTCAATCAATTAAAATTTGTATTTACTTTGTAATTTAATTTAATTTAATTTAATTTAATTTTAATTTAATTATTTTCTTTACAAACTTATCTTTCTGTTCCAGCTGTTCAGTTCTGGTTATTTATTTATTTTATTTTTTAATTATTTATTTATTTATTTATTTACATTTTCCATATTTTAATGCCTGTCAATCAATTAAAATTTTTATTTACTTTGTAATTTTAATTTAATTTAAATTTACAGAATTTACATACAGGTCAGAACTTAAAAATGCATTGTTTTTAACATTGTTTAATATAGTTCAGATTCATGTTAAATTAACACTTCCCTATGACAGCCCTAATTATTTAATGTCTTTTTCATTCTGTATTCACTGGGATTGATTTTAATATTCTTTTTTTTCCTCAATATTCTGTGTTTGCCCAAATAATTTATCATTAATTTTTTTTTATTATCACATCCTTTTCACTTTCTCATTTATTATTCCTAGCCTCTCATGCCTCTTCCTCCATCTCGGGGTCAGAACCTGTATCTCCTCTTTTTCCTCTTTCATCCTTCTATTCTTCACCTCCACCCAAGGCCGAATCCACCCAGAGGCGCAGCAGCCATGCTTTCTGTGACCACGCCCCCCGCCGACGCTTCTCCTCCGCCAGTAATTCACTGTGCACCTTGTGTGTGTTTTTCGGCCAATAGCCTGGCATGAGTCTCCTCTCACTAACCAATCCCCTGCCCCTAACTGCACTGCTCTGCCTGCATAACCCCACCTACCAGCCCAATTCAATTGGGATTTGGTTAAGTGTTTGGTGACTTGTTTGCTGCTGTAGTTTGGATTGGTACTGAAGCTGTGTTTGGGTTTTAAGGCCTCATTTTGAAGACCATGGCCTCTAAAGACCTTCAGGCACTAATGGATTTGTAATGTGGTGATTTTAACCTGCCCAAGAAGCAATTTTCCCACCAATTTTCAGGCCATATTTACACTTTTTTTTCTAGTTTGAAGTATAGTGAAGAAAAAAATCTTAAATGCACAAATTATGTGAATAAGCGATTGAGTCCATGTACTTTTGTTTCAAGAGTTAGATGTAGCTCGCTCTACTTTTATGGTGTGTCAAGTTATGGCTTATATCAGCTGTAAAAGGCCATTAATTGAGTACAGGGCTGTTATAAGACTGTAAATGCCGCTGGCAGGATGATGTGATGGTGTGGGTTCAGGGATCCAGTGGCCCGTGAGACTGACGCTAAGCACTTAATCTCCACTGAGAGGCTCGTGGGGAAACGAAAGACAGAGAAGCAGTGACACTTGCTATCAGCCGTTTAAGACCTGGGATCATATCCACACTCGTATCTTCAGAGAGAGAGAGAGAGAGAGTTCATCTACAGATTTCCTGTGTTACTCAAACTCACTCATACTGCAGTTTTGTCACCTTTCTCTTCATCTAAGATACATTCTCCCTCTGGCCCTGTTTACATTATGTATAAACATCTGTCTCAGGCAATAGCTGTCAGATTGCTGTTTATGTCTGTACATGTAAATGCATATATTTACATGCATTTTCTGATCAGATTTTGATGGGAGAGTTTCTGGTTTTGTGACGGTATACACTACCATTCAGTGGGTTTGGTAAGAGTTTTTTTTTTTTTAAGGATTGAATTCTTTTATTCAGCAAGGATGCATTAAATTGCTCAAAAGTGGCAGTAAAGACATTTATAATGTTACAAAAGATTTCTATTTCAAATATTTTCAACTTTCTATTCATCAAAGGACTCTGAAAAAATATAGCACCGTTTCCAAAAAATATTAAGGCAGCACAGCCATATTCAAGATTGATAATAAAAAGAAATGTTTCTTGAGCACCAAATCATCAAATTAGAAAGATTTCCGAAGATTCATATGACACTGAAGACTGGAGTAACGACTGCTTAAAATGTGACTTTGCCATCACAGGAATAAATAGAAAACTGTTTTAAATTGTAATAGTATTTCACAATATTGACGTTTTTACTGTATTTTTGATCCAATAAGTTCATCCTTGGTGAGCATATAAGGCTTCTTTCAAAAACTCATAGCCTCATAATCAACCCCATATTTTTTTAACAGTACTGTACATCACTTACTGTTTCAGTTAAAGTCAAATAAACTGGAAAAATAGACAGTGGAGTCAGACATAACTGCCAATAAGTGGTTATTTTATAGTCAAAGTGAACCAGCAAAGTTTAAATGTTGTAGCCCAATGTATGACTGACAGGTGAGTAGGCAGTCCTTCCCTATTGCAGGGTTTCCCATACATTGATTTATTTGTGGCAGCCCACCACACCGCCACAAATAGATTTTCCAAAAGGCTTTGACTTCGTAGAATAAACTTGAGCACTGTACGTTTCAAAATCAAAACGCGCACGGGTGTATTTATATAAATGTATATTTTTTGAAGGGAACCGAAAAGTTTTGATATCATTTTCATTTAATCTTTCCTATAATGCCTGATAAAGTAGGGTTCATGAGCGCAGCAGCCGTTACCGGGGAAACCGCTATTTCTGCCGCTCCTAAAGCGCCTCCTGCTGGCAGAGAATGAATTTGTACTTTCAATAAGCCCGTCTGCTGTTTTATATTTACATTATATACATATATATTTCCCCCAGGGGAAGTGCCGCCACACATAGAGTGTAACTCTGAGACACATCAAGATACATTAATGCTTCCACTACAAATGGGATCACAAAATTCTTGGTTTTGTACTCCAATTTAACCTTAATGATCAGACCTCCCGAGACAGATATTTCCATAATACTAGGTGTAAACAGGGTCTGTCTTTTTCTTGGTCTGTCTTCTATAATGCTGTGCGTGTGATTCACAATCTCTGCTGTTACTCCCTGTGCAGTGTTTGCGCATCCAAACCATTGCATTTACACACTTACAGTGTCACGCACCTGTGCACCTGCCACCTGTGTTCGCAGAGCGTGAGAATCACAGATACAGGGTTTAAAGGGCCATTACCTGCTCAGGAGGACTCATGACACTTTGGTTTGTGGTATTAAGGCCCATTCACACCAAGGACGATAACGATAAAGATATAGTTCTAAAAATCGTTCTCAATATTAAAGAATAGCAGAGTCCACACCACAACTATAACGATAAAGGCACAGATAAACGATATCGTTGGAATCACTTTCAGAAAGATTTTTTTCCAGCTGATGAACGATAAAAATATTGACAGCCAATCAGATTCAATCCTGCTGTAACGAGCTCGAGAATTTAAAGCGGCAGACGAGCGTGCGCTTAGAATAAACAGACGATATCGTTCGCTGGTGTGGCCGCTAATATCGTTATCTTTATAGTTATCGTTCTTGGTGTGAACGGGGCTTTACAGAAAGTCAGACAAAATCAATTAGTTTTTTGTATTATATTTCTGTTTTTGTAAACTTTCTGTTGTGGTGGTTGTTGTTGTTGTTGTTTTGGTTCTAATTTTTTATGAGTAATTGCCCCCTTTTTGTTGTTCTTTTTGGTTTCCAAGGCAACCTTCCAGATGCTTTCTTTCATGGTTTTGACTCTTTTATTGGGGTTTGTAAGTAGTCTTGCTGTTACTACTCTGCCTCTATACACACACACACGCACACACACACCTGCTTCATTGCCTCGCTGGCCTTCTCCCCCTTAGCAGAGTGTCTGTTAAGACACTCCAACACACTCCGGCATAATGTGTTCAATGAACGCGTTGCCTCTTACCTTTTGTTTTACCCCCTTATTGTGTGTCCTCTCCTGGCGTTTTGTGTCCCAGGCCTCTTTGTGCTAAAGAGAGACGTAAATGCACTCATTTGGCCTCAGTTCTTGATAATTAAAGAGACAGTATTGTTCCTCCAGGCCTTTCAAACAGGGTGTAACGCATACCGCTACTTAAAGCCAAATATTTATGGGTACGTTTAGCTCTGTTTGGATTCTGACTTATTAGTTTTAATGGTACACTTAGTTATAATTATTATACTTGTTATTATTATTAATGGTATGGCAAGTATCTCTATTACTTTTGATCATTATTAGGATTAGTATTATAAACAGCGCTTTATTATACTCCGAAACAGCTTGTGCAGTGTCTATGCTACAGACATGAATAACACTTTAATCCTGCATAGATATTTAAAATGATTTACCTTTTTTTCCCCCATTTACACTACTTTGTCACTTTTGATGAATTTAATGAATCCATGCTGGACAAAAAAAAATTTCTTTAATAAAAATAAAATAAAATCTTGACCCCAAACTCTTAAATGGTATATTGTATATGTAAATATACACACTACCTGTCTCTTGTTATCACAAAAGACCTATAAAAGTGTTCTGTGATTAAAAATTAATCTAAATAATTTGGTGCCTCGGGAGAGCAATGACCTTGTCTAAAATGTGCTCTAATTTTTTAACTATTGATCCAAAATTAGACTTAAGCTCTTTTAATTCCATCTGACAGTCCACAGTTTAATCCCAGTTTAAGATTATTGTTTCATTTTATTTGAAACCTGAGTGAAGTCAAGCACTGTAATTATTTTAAAAGTTATTTAAATATTGATTATTTGTCATTAAGGTCACTTGATATAAATTGGGTGTGTGGTATCTGATGGAACAGCACCCAGGTCTCTTGACCGTGGATCACAAGCTCTAATTTTCTTTAGTGTCTCACATTTAGCAGCTGTTTCTAAAGTCCAGGCTCTGTTAACAGAGCGATAAAACGTTTAAGAGGACGGGATTGCGGGTGTCATGATCGTGCTGAGAGGTGCTCATTTACGGCCAATTAAGACACAGTATCTGGAAACAGTCATAGCTTGTAAAAATCAAAGCTAAAAACTGCTTTTGGAGTTGGAATGGAATTAATTGTTTTTGGGGACTTGAAAAATTGATTCAAATTGCTAGAGAACACTAAAAATATTGTATTGTATTAAGGAGTTAAATAACCTTTTAGCCTAATTCACTGGAAAGTAACTGGGAAATTATGTCCCCTGTATTTTACAAATAAGTTAATAATGTTAAATGATTATGAATTTAAATGTGCCTGCTTGCAGAAAAAAACAATGTCATATGCTGTGTACAGGTTATCGCAGGCTTCTAGGAATGCCAAAACGGGGGATGCATTACAAACCAAAGACTTTCTCTATATTTACAGCAGGTTCTTGTGAAGAAAGTACTGTCTCTTTAAAAACATATTTGCTTCTTATGTATGTGTGTGATGATGCTTTCCCACTCCTAGCATGGAGCTCTATGGTCACGCTCTTTCTGCAGGCTGGTCTAATGCATCATGGGGTGTTTGAGTTTGCGTGTGTACACGCATGTGCTTAAGAGAGATGTGAAGCTGTTAACCTACTTCAGTAGTTTGTAATGTGCTTGACACAGTCAAGTATAAGAATTTTTAAAATAGAGCCTTACGGAATTTTGGATCTTTTGCAAATGCTGTTCCAATCTGTTTGACTTTGTTTTTTTGTGTAAAACACAAATTGAGAAATTGAGCACAATGTCCAAGCTGCTCTTCCACACAGTGAAAATGCAGATGTTGTCAAGTTCCCAAATGACAAAACAGCACCATTATAACAGCACCATAGAAGTAATCTGTTTGACTTTTGAGCTTAATTCAAAAGTCTCCTGAAGTCACATGATGGAATTTGAGTTATCCCTCCAGCGTAGCTTTCAAATTTCATTTACTGTACATATATTCATTAACATTCAAAGGTTTGGGGTCGGTAAGATTTTTTAAATGTTTTTTAAAGAAGACTCTTTTGATACAACAAGGCAGCATTCATTTGATCAAAATACAGTAAAAACAATCATATTGTGAAGTATTAATATAATTTAAAGTAATAATTAAACGTTTAAAAGAACAGCATTTATTTGAAATAGAAATTGTTTGTAACATTAAAATGTATTTATTCTCACGTTTGATGCATCATTGCTGAATAAAAGTGTTAATTTCTTTCAAAAGAGCATAAATCTTACTGCCCCCAAACTTTTGAACGGTAGTATATTAATGCATTTGACAACATGTTGTGTCAGAAAGTGCGATTAAAATGAGAACAAGAGTCATTAAGGTTTGGAACAACATGAGAATAAGAAACATGGCCAAATTTTTGGATTAACTTATATACTGTTATATTTGTATTACCTAGAACAGCCATAAATGTTCTGTTTCACAGTTTAAATTTGTTCATTCTTGTGGCCTCTGTGAGTTTTTAAAGGCTGTGGTATAGGACATTCATGAAGAGGTCCCCTGGAAGCCTTTTAAACTCAGTACACATAGGGTCAGATTCTCAGTGTTTGGTCCATTGATCCATGACTTTGTCCACCGTCGCCATAGAAACGCTAAACATAGGAGCAGCAGCTATGGATTTGACTCAACAGGCTCATTGCTAAAGAGAAAGAAACTGAGATGTACAGGGATCGATTTCAGTCCGAATGTGTTTTATGTCCCACTGGTCTGGTCGATAAAATCCAGCCAGTGACTCATAGAGACTCTTGAGGATCCTAATATGTTCCTCTGAACCCCGACAGAGACTTTAATGACCACACTGATGCCCTGACCACAGCTCTGCTGGGCAGCCGCACGTCCAGACAAATAGGGAATCTGTGATCGCTGAACTGCAGGGGGCAATTTTTCATTTCAGTTCAGGAAACTAATGTGGTGTCTTCAGTTCATCTCCTGAATCTGGCAAATTGAAAAGGAACTGAGGCCAAATCTGTAATTTATTGGTAAAACTGCTCACCCAGAACTAAAGGTCATTTGCTGCTGGCTGCTGAAAATTCAGCATTGTCATCATAGGAATAAATTACATTTTAAAATGTATTCAAATAGAAAACTTACTTTATATGGTAATAATATTTCACAATATTACTGTTTTTATAGTATTTTTGATTTACCGACCTCAAAGTTTTGAACGGTGGAACACAAAAGTAGACATTTTGAAGATTGTACAAATCGCTTATTGAATGCAGTTATAAAAAATAGAAATTGGAGCACTGAAGCTTCAAATTGATGCAAAAATCTATAAAAAAATATCATAAAAGTGGTCCATTTGATTTATGGACTGTATTTAGATGGCTTACAATTAGGGTTTCAATTCAGATCGATTAATCACGATTTATCGCATCCAAAATAGAAGTTTGTGTTTACGTTATGTATGTGTGTGTACTGTGCGTGAATGTATATATAAACACACACACATACATGTATATATTTAAGAAATATATGTAATATACTGTATATTTATAGTTATATATAATATAAATCATATATACATATGAATAGATATATACATATAAATATTTCTTAAATCTATACATGTATGTGTGTGTATTTAGGTATACATATAAATATACGCAGTAAACACACATATCATGCAAACACAAACATTTATTTTGGATGCGATTAATCAATTTGACAGCCCTACTTACAATATATATGTGTGAGGAACAGACCTAAATAGAGTTGTTATTCACTGAAAATTATGAATATTCAGTTTGTGAATGAAAGAGAAAGGAAAAATTTAAATAGCATCATATGACCCCTTTAAGTCTGATCTTTTAGTGAATCATTTGATGATACTTTCAGATTTCAAATGATTGTATATGAGAACCAGAATGTAATTTTGGGTGAATAATCCATTTAATTGAAAGCACTCTATTTCAAGCCAAGCGGACAGGAGAAAACAGCCTCATGAAATTTGGTTTACATTTTACAGCCAGCACTTTTAAAATGCAAGATTTGGTAAATTTGTGGAAAGTAGCTGCAAATGTGCAGAGCTTCATTTTTTCACTGTTAATAATTTTATGCTGTTTGTGTTTAAGTGGTGTGTGCAAGTGTGCTTGTTAAAATTTTGTCCACGTTTTGGAAATTCTGAGAGTTGACTACAGATTGTTGGATCTCTGAATCTTTGTCATGGTGTTTCTTCACCCCTGTGTTTCCTAAAATTACCTCACTCTAACTTGCCTAGAGTTTAGAAATGACTAGTGTTCATTTGTTTTTAAATCTTGAACATTAGAATAGAAAAACAGTTACAGATCAAGAAATTTTCAAATCAAGACATTTTCAAACTTGAACACTTATATGTTAAATATATAAGAACAAGTGTTTAATAATATTTTGAATTAGCCTTTTTTTTCTTTTCTTTTTTGTATTTTCAGTTTTAATTTTTTTAACTTTAATTTATTTTTATTTCAGTTTCTGTTTTAGTCATTTTAGCATTTTATTTTACTTTGTTGCCAAGTCAACAGTAATTCTTTACAATTTTTCATCAAATATTTATATTTAATTTTATTATAGCTTTAATTCAAATAATAATTTTTAATAGTTTTGATTTTAATATTACTTTTAATTAACAATAATAGCACTGTTGAGAACAGGGATGAGCTGTGATCAAGCTGTTTGGCCTTCACGTGTATATAAACAATATTCTAGATCAGAGTTTTCACTGAGAGGCCTGACTGGTAATGTCTGGAGTGTTGTGGTTGTTTGTAGAGAGGCTTCTATTTCCACTGCACTCTATTTCCACTGCAGGTTCCATCCACGCCACCTCCATAGCAGCGTCACGGGTGGAACAGGCACTGTCTGAGGTGGCCTCTTCCCTTCAGAGCAGCGCTCCGAAACAGGGACCCCTCCACCCTTGGATGACCCTTGCCCAGATCTGGCTGCATGCAGGTATAAACCTCACCCATAGCCCTAATTTGCATACTTGTAACATAAGTCAAGCCCGCATTCGATATCTACAGTGGGTATAGAAAAGAATCACCCCCTATTATAATAATCACATTTTGTTGCTTTGCAGCCTGAAATGAAGACGGACACAGTTTTTGTTTTATCCATCTGTATTTACAAATTATAACATCCAAGTGAAAGATATAACACCAACATTTCAGAAAAAAAATT